GTTATACGCAAACAATGAATCATGGAACACTACATTAAAAACTAATGACGTAATGTATGGTGATTAACTAACATAATAAAATAAATTTAAAAAAAGAATATAATAAAACAGATGAGTTGAAAATATAGATAGCCCCAGGAGATTACATACTGTATGATACTCTTTTTATGTAAGTCAAAGACAAAATTAAACAATATATTGTCTATGCACATATATATTTGATAACACCAAAAAGAAAGGAGGGAATGATCAGTCACCCGAAATCAATTCAGGGTAATTGTTACTATCTTAAGGGAGAGGCAGAGGCAGAAGGTTGGAACAGGGTACTGACTCCACATAGATAGGTATACTTATTGGTAATGTTCTTGGGCTAGGGATGAGGTCAAAGGAGTTCATTATAAACATAAATAGAAAGGAGGGCTACCCATGGATTAATGATGGGAGTGCCATGAACCAAAGCATATGATAAATGAACACAGGTTACCTGAGTCCAAATAAGAAATGAGAAAGAAAAATAAATGAGAGTAGTGCATGTACATTGTAAAAATTTGGATATACATGTAAAATATGTAGTTATAAAAAAGAAAAAAATTTTCACTCGTTATTCCTTCAGGGAGAAAAAGTACAATTAATACAGTAATGTTATAGCTTCCCATTCTTTCCCCTATGAATTAAAAAAAGTTTCTAATGACACTAAAAAACTGTCAGATTGATGAAGTCTGTTCTCTACGGGGACTGTTTAGGTCAGGCTACCCACTCCTGGCTCCCACCACCCAGGTCTCAATAGGCAAACACAGTGACAGCATCGCGGCTGCAGCCTTAACAGCTCCGCCCAGCTCCGCTCAGGTTCGGAGAACACGCCCCGGGGGTGGGCCCAGCTCCTGTGGGGGCGTGGCTAAGAGACGAGGTCGTTCTCAGCCTCGGCCCAGGTAAGCCGGGCGGGACCGGGAGGCGCCACACGTCGCAGCGTGATGACGTCAAGAACGCGCCCGGCGTGGCGCTTTCGGCGTGCGCAGCTGCGTTTCGGCGTTTTGGTTCGGTCTCCTGAGCTGAGGGTGAGGCGTGCTGTGCCCTTGGCCGGCATGTTAGCGGCTATGGGTGCTGTGGATGAGGAAGAGGAGCAGGCGGAGGAGGACTGTCCTGAATTGGTCCCCATTGAGACGAAGCTAAGAGAGGAGGAGGAAAAGTCTGGGCCCGGCGCTAAGATCCCAGTCACAATTATCACCGGGTATTTAGGTAACTAACCATCCCGGTCAGAAAATGCCGTGAACGCTGGTATCCTGGGATTTTGGGGGCTGCCGGTGCCTCATCACCTTAGGCATCTGGGCCTTCTGGGCGACAGCACATGTCTCTGAGGTAGGGGCTGGGTCACGCGCTTCCCGCTTGGGTTGCTTTTCATCTCGGGGCTCGAGGATGCCCAGACCCCTTTGCGTTAGATTCACATTTATCAAGGGAGACTGAAAGTTAACCTCGCATTTTGGAGCTAGTTTTGGCTTTGCGCCTGGAGGCTTGGACCCGCCCCCTAATTATCCCTGTGGCCTCTAACAAGTTATCTTACCTTTCTGAAGCTCGTGAGCCTTACTGGAAAGTGGAAGTAGTATCGGTCACCTGTTTGAGTTTGTTTTCTTACCTGCTAAATGGGGCAGGAAACACCTACCTTTATGTCTATTACCTTTAAAGGGTACCCTGTCTGTGCCCGACCCACAAGGGCATTCTTTAGTAGCTTCCCCTTCCCCACGAGCCAGCCTCTTCCAGCTATTCGGGGAGAGGACTCCTATCTCAAACCTTTTTTTTGAGGTTTGTTTGCAAAGCACTCTAGGAGAAAGTAGGAATAAAGTCCCTACCCTCCCAGACCATTTCTCAAGCCAAGGACGTTTAGGAATGCACATGGACACTTAAATTCATAGGTGTGTAAGCGTGCAATTTCCTGAAGGACAGTTTTCGGGCTTACACTAGAAGTACTTTCTTGGAAAAATCTGAGGAGTATTATTTTAAGGCCTTACATTTTACTAGAAGGGCTAGAATAGATACAGGACCATATTAAAAGTGTGGGGAAAATTAAATGTAAACAAAGTGAAACGATTTGGGGTTAATAATACCATTCCTAGATGATGCCAGAGACAAGTACAAACTTGGTGCACGTGAGGGCCTTTTACATAAAAATAAGAATTAAATCTCTGGTGTTTTTGAGCTTTGTAGTCTGAGTTTATTCTCCTTTTTCCTCTGGACTGGTTTTATAAGGGAATTTATTTTTGTCGTGTCCCCATTCTCTGGCTTTTCTTTTTTAAATTTTCTCCAACCTCTGTCCATCCTTTTAAGTTGACACTCAGATAGTTTCTATTTTGATGTCCCACAGACATCTCGAACTCGGCAGGTCCAAAACTTCATATGTTACCTTACCCTCCAATCCTCCTGCTCCTGTGATTCCAACCACCTGGAATACTCTAAAAGTTTTCTAACTAGTCTTGTGTCATGCTTCCCTTTAATATATTCTCTGTGTTTTAGCCCTAATGATCTTTGTAAGTGTCAACTGTGTCACACCCTTCAGTGTTTCCATTTGGGTTGCAGTTCAAATTCCTAAACATGAATCAAAAGGTCCTATATGATCTGGCTCTTGACTGTCTTTCTAGCCTTCAAAACTGTGGTCCAGCCACATTGAATTACTTTTACTTTTAAAAGGTGCCAAGTAGGGGCCCTGGGTGGCTCAGTCGTTAAGCGGCTGCCTTCGGCTCAGGTCATGATCCCAGGGTCCTGGGATCGAGCCCCGCATCGGGCTCCCTGCTCGGCGGAAAGCCTGCTTCTCCCTCTCCCACTCCCCCTACTTATGTTCCTCTCTCGCTGTGTCTGTCAAATAAATAAAATCTTTAAAAAAAAATTTTTTTTAAAGGTGCCAAGTATTTTAGTCCCTAGAATACTTTTCCTTTTTGTTACTCCTCTGCCTAGACCTTCCTTTTTGGTGCTCCCTAACATCTTGTACATGTTCTGTCCACTCTGTAGTCCTGTGACATCATTGCCTCTTTACGGTCTGAATTACCTTCCATCTCCCACTCTCTTAGTCTTTGTAAGCTTTGTGAAAGTAGAGACAGTTTGTCTCTGTTTTGTGCACTTTTTGCTAAGGCCCAGCATGAAATCTGGCCCATAGTAGACTTTTGAACGAATAAACTGTGCCTTAAAGTCTTCTGCTTCATAATATGGTTAATTACTAAGTCCTAGTAATTTTATTAGAGGGTCTCTTACGTCCACCTCTGCCTTTCCATTTTCACTGCCACTGCCTAGTGCTGCCCTCATGTTCAGGGTCTCTTTCTCACACTTGGACTGGTTCTAAGAATTTCCTCATTGCCCTGCCTCCTTAAGCTCTGTCCCTTTCATTCTATACTTCACACTTTTGTGATGTTGAGCTTTTTAAAGCACTCTAAACACAAGCCTTTCATCCCTTCAACAGCCTTTAAAGGAATATGACCTAAAGGGATGCCTGGGTGGCTCAGTTGGTTAAGCGTCTGTCTTTGGCTCTGGTCATGAACCCAGGGTCCTGGGATCGAGTCCCACATCAGGCTCCCTGCTAGACAGGGAGTCTGCTTCTCCCTCTGCCTGCAGCTCCCCCTGCTTGTGCCTCTCTCGCGCGCTCTCTGGCAAATAATAAAATCTTAAAAAAAAAAAAAAAAAAGGAATATGACCTAAAAATGTGGAAGATATTAATACCCTAATGATCATTAAATCTCTCCTAGTTAAAGGCTAGAAATCTCATAAATGTACTTCAGAAGTTGTGTGCAAGCTTACATGTGAAAGGTCTTAGCAGCACTGTTTGGGAAAATAAAACACTGGAGATAACCCAAATGCCCACCAACAGAAAAGTAAATAAATGATACAGTTGAACTACACTAATGTGCAGTTTGTTTTTTTTCCTCTTTGAACTTTGGTGTGTATAGTTGTTCATAAGATAAATGCTTTTCTTCTACTTGAGCGGAACATACTAAGTTTAACCTGCCACCTACTGGATAAAGTTAGTGTAGCTTTATGAATTTATCTTTCTAAGTACTGAATGTTGTGTATATTGTTAACATTTTCTACATCCATTCTCCTATTTTGTGTGTGTTTTATAGATTGGTAGACAGATACGGTTGACACTTGAACAATGTGGGAGTTAGGGGTGCCACCTTCCTGCATAGTAACTTTGGACTCCCCCAAAACTCAACTACTAATAGCCTACTGTTGACCAGAAGCTTTACTGGTGGGACGTTGCCCCAGGCACAACCGGGAAAGGGTTAAGCGCGGCTGCTCCCGTTGGCCGGGCAGGACGGGGTGCACCCCAGCTCCTTTGGACTCGGGAGCCGAAACCAGTCCCTGGTTAAACTGGTCGGCAGAAGCTTTACTGGTGATATAGTCGATTAACACATATTTTGTATGTTACATGTATTACATACTGTATTCTTACAAAAAAGTAAGCTAGAGAAAAGAAAATGTTATGAAGAAAATCATAAGGGGGAGAAAATACAGTACTGTACTATATTTACAGAAAAAAGTCCACATATAAGTGGACCTGCGACCCACACAGTTAGTTGTTCGAGGGTCAACTGTATATATACTTATTTTCTTATAGGTTACTTTGAGTACGAAAATAGCCCTGTAGTCAGTTTGAATTTGTGTCTGGTTAATGATGGATGTTGAAATAAAAGATAGGGCTTTATGTAAATTTTAGGGACGTAAACTATGTATTCTTGGCTAAGAAACATTGTCATCATGTGAAAGTGTCTAAATATTTTAAAGTACATGAGTAATTTAAATAAAGTAAATAAAGTACATGAGTACTTTATTCCCTGGAAACCATTATTTCAATAATTCCTTAATAGAAAATTTAGATGTCTTTATATTAATTATAAATTGTATAGAAGGCATATTTTTGTTATATGAGGGTGCAGCAAGCTGTGATCCATGTTGTAGGCATATCTGTAAATATTTATAAGATTTTATGTCAACATAAAGCTTTTTAATAGTTGCAAAGGATACTTTAATCTTTCCCTCTAGAATCTTCTATACCATAGTTAAAAATAATATTTTAAAAATAGCACACAAATTTTTAAAAACATTGGGACTCTTTTTTTGTGTGTGCCTTTAAAATTAGCCTTTGAATATTGTTATTTAAAACAAATATGTTTTATAGGTGCTGGGAAGACAACGCTTCTGAACTATATTTTGACAGAGCAACATAGTAAAAGAGTAGCAGTTATTTTAAACGAATTTGGGGAAGGTAAGTAAAGTTCAGTGAATGCCATGCTGTAAGAATTTATAGGATAGCTTATTCCCCTGGTGAATTGATATTCCATATTTAAAAATGAAAATACAGGGTATTATAATGTGAACATATTGATGCGGATTGTTCTGGGAAAATTAATTTCTTTCAAGCTTTATTTTGTACAGATTTGAGATACTGAAATTACTACTTTTCATAAAATTTTATATACATTTGAAATTCATAGCAACAGAATTAAATTAGGTTTTTACATGAAATAACTCCAGAAGTAAAAATCTAAACATATGAAAGAAAGTTCTTTCAGACTTTCTATGTACTTTTGTACTGACTATACTGTTCACTTGTAACTTTTGAAAAATTCTTTAAAATGCTTCAGTTTTTGTAAGTTTACCTTGTTGGATGTTTATTGTTTGCAAAGCATTTAAAACTGAAGATTTAAAAAATAAGTTAAATATATGGTTTCCATCTCAAGCATCTGCAGTTGTCTGTGGAAATACATGCATTTAAAATTCCAATTTTTTTTGTTTTTAATATTGAACTATGCTTTAAAAAAACCTGTACAGCAGTGTTACACACAATTCTTTGATTACTTTTAGAAGTTTTTCTTCTTAAGTGTGAATTTTAACTAGAGCTCACTTTTAGCCAAAAAATATGTCTTATGTTGAGCTATTTCTTATACTATTTTCTCAGTTGTAAATGAATAAAGGAGCTAGGTTTTATGAACAAGAAGGAAGACCTGTTAAACTTGATTTCTCATTTTAATAAACTAAAGTGAAAAGTCCTGTTAGAAAAAATTAAAATGCTAAGATTTTTAAAATCCTAATCTTGTACTCCAGCTTCTTATTAACTGATCTGTTGGACACTGTGATCACATTTATTATTAGTTGCTATTTTTCTTCATTCTTTCCGGATTGTTTATATAATTTATATAAACCATTTATTTGCAATACTTTCCTTTGCATTTTATTTATAACCTCTATACCCTGAATTCTGTAGCAGTCCCTTTTAGAGCTCTTTATCCTTGCCTAAGTGAAATATAAACAAAAAATATATACATGAAAAATTACTCCATTTTCTTTTGTGGCCATTTGCTTTACTGGATATTTAGAACACTCCCTTGGCTTTGGTATATTTCTTTATTGGAGGAAAAGTAAGTATGATAACAAGCATCTCAGAATTTCACATATATATTATTCTTTCTTAAGTTAGCATTGCTAGGAAACTTTAGTTTAAAAATTTAATTTTTAAAATGAGCACATTGATACCCTGGCCAAGCAAACTTCCTCAAAATGAACTTGGGTTTTTACTCATACCGGGAATATTGAGTAGTCTGTCTAGTAGAAACAAAAACAATTTAGAAGAAGAATGAAAAGGAAAAAATAGATAAGGCAGTCTTTTAAGAGGGTTAAGGGCATATAAAAACCAAAACATTAAACATACTAGTTGGCCATGGACAAAGAGTGCTTTTGAAATAGCTACTTTTATTAATGGGCAAGTGAGAGGGCCAAAGAAGTAGGTATGAGTCATTAATTTTGGATTTGCCTTTTTAGGGATTTAAATCCTCTTTAAAAAATAAAAGCTTAAATAATCTAGAGTAGTATAGTTTAGAACACTGAGGCTGCACAAACAGAATGAAAGCATAAAAGTTATAAAAGGTTTTTGTATAAAATGTTTTGAAATCTGTGTTGTTGATATCCTCATCTTTGTTTTTGGTTGGCTAGTGAACATAATCTTAAGAGTGCTTCTTGTTAATTATTTCAGGAAGTGCAGTGGAGAAATCCTTAGCTGTCAGCCAAGGTGGAGAGCTCTATGAAGAATGGCTGGAACTTAGAAACGGTTGCCTCTGCTGTTCAGTAAAGTGAGGAATGTGTTTATTGTGTGCTTGTTGGTTTATTATAAATGTTTATTGATTATATTTCCAGCTTTGATTTTCTAGTGTAATGTAACTGAATTTATACAGTCTGCTTCATTGTATTTTCACATAGAAAATAACTTATTAGAATGTATTTTCTTAAAGTGTTTCTTGCTGCCCTGTTTATTTTTCTGTCTGCTCTAATGCTTTGGTTCTTCTATTGAGTTTGTTTTTATTGTCTTTGATGTTAGGGTTTAATTAGTGATTTCTGTGGTACGTGAAAGTCACATTTCATGTGTAAATTACTATTTTACATTGAGTGAGTCACTGGTCCTATTTCCAAGGATTCACCTTCTAAAAACAAAAGTAAATGACCATCAAAAAGGTGAATAGGCTCACGCTGTGTTCCACCAGTGATAGTTGCTTCCAAGGACAGTGTCTGTTTTTTTCACTAATATACCATCGATCTTAGAAAAGGACCTGACATATCTATTCACTCAGATATTTGTTGAATAAATTAGGAAAATTAATACCTGTACTGTTGACTTTGTATATTCTAGTGAATTAAATTTTTTCTACATCATTTACAACTTAAGTATTTGACTTTGAGTCAAATATATTAACAAAGCTAAAATCATGACATTTTCTTGAACAACCAAAATGAAATCCAGTATTTTCTTGCACTGTCTGGTACCCTTATTTAGAACAGATTGAAAAGTAATGATCATGTCCCTTTAGATGTTATATTAAATCACTGTAATTCATATATTTTATCATTGTTTTGGATGTTGAGTTTTTTCTTTCATTATGCTATAAAAATAGCAGCTTTTGACTTCAGTCAGGGTATTAAAGTTTCCTCTACTTTTAATTTTATTAAAGTATTAACTCCTCATGTATCTGATTTATTTTGCTATCAGTATATATGCCTCTATATTTCCCCACCATTGGTAAATATTGATGGATGTTGTGTTAGAAGTTTGGGAAGGAGTTAAATTTTCACATGCCTAAAGATATTTTTGTCTCAGGTTACTAAATATATTTTAAAACATTTATAATGATCACTTTAAAATATTAAGGTAATAAACTGTATTTTATATTTTGGTATTCTACAGGGACAATGGCCTTAGAGCTATTGAGAATTTGATGCAGAAGAAGGGGAAATTTGATTACATACTCTTAGAGACCACTGGGTTAGCAGATCCGGGTAAGAGATGACATTATTAATAACCAGAATATAGTTCTTAAACATTTTTAAATGTATTAGAGAAATATGTAAAGTAAGCATTAAACCTGTACTCCAGACTAAATATTTTTTGTTGTTGCTTAAAACAGGAAAAATACTGGATTGTCATGTTTCTTTTGCAGATAAATCATAATCAGAGTACTTGATAATTTTAACTTAATAATAGGATTGAAATTCAATTGATCGATTTAAGATTATTGGTAGGAACACAAGTAGTTAAAGTATGGAAATTTAGGAAAAATAAAGACATTCTACTTATAAGTTCTACTCCTGTATTTGATTGATTATAGTCTACAGAGATCTTATTTCTGATTACTTTCTAATCCAGGTTTCTTGGAGGGTCATTTAAAGATTCTTAAGGGCTTTTGGACTCTAATTTCAGTATTGCTTACTCTCTTTCAATTAATTGTTAGCATTAGCATTTTGTTTTTCTACTACTAAAGTTGAAATAGTTTTATTGGTAAATACTGTCATTAGGTACAGAGTTAAATTAAGCCTACTGGGCCTTTTCCTGGTGTGGAATTAATGATTATCCATGAAATTTTTATCTCTGAGTAGAATTACATTTAAACTTCTCTATTGAAAGCTACACAAAGTTGAAGTGTTTTAGCAATCGATTTCTGTTTCCTTCTTACCCAAATGTCTTTTAGGTTACACCTTTATTCTTAGTTTGCAGAACATTTAGTGTTCCTTCTGTAAGTCTGACCATACCTTTTTTTTTATTTGAGCTAATGGCATTGGGCCATAAAACTATATAAAAGACTATATAGAAGTACTGTTTAGTAATAATTTATTAGGGGTCATAACTGTTTAAAACAGATACTGAAGTATACTGAAGGTCCAAATGTAATCAGTGGTTATTGTACTTCCAAATACTGCATAATAACATTGTCCTTCTGTTTTCAAATTAGTGTTGAGTTGGGCTGTTTTGGTCCTGTAGTAGACCATATTATGTACATTTTCATACATTTCCAATAGATTTGACTGATGATAGGACTCGGACTATTACATTGATATTAAATATTAAATCTGGTAGGATGGGAAAATATATGCCTCCTTTTTGAAATAGCAAATATCAATTTCTTTCATGATAGCCACTTTATAGAGAAAAACTCATAACTTTGAGAGTAGGTGAGTTTAGTAAAACATGGTTCAGCTTTTCAGAGGGAGAAGGAAAAGTTAAAGATCTCAGAAAGCTTTTGTACAAATTGTAGGTATGAACAGGTTAATGTTTCTTCTAACTTTCGTTAGAATAATGATTTTATTGTTTGGGTAAAAATGGAACATTCATTAAAAAAAAATTTACCCAATATCTAAGAAAATGTGAAGAAGAAAGTTAAATCACACTGTATCTCACTACAATGAAATACAAGTAGGTAAATTTTATTTCAGGGATTTTTCTCTGCCAGTGCTACTTGCTGAATGACAGCATCAGTCTCTGAAGCTTGTGAAAGATGCAGATTCTTGGGCCCCATCCCAGATCTACTGAATCAGAATCTGTAAGGGTGTGAGCCCGGCAATCTGTTTTAATAAGCCCTCCAGGGGATTCTTACACATTCATAAATTTGGGAAGCCCTGCTCTATGTGCATATGAAAGCTGTATAAACAGATAAATAATTTTACAAAAATGTGATTGCATTCTTTGTGCTATTCTTAGTAAGTATTAATTTAGTTTTACTTGAATCTACAAGAAGAGAACTTGGAGGCAGTTCAAGATGGCAGCTTAGGAACACCCTGAACTATCTCTTTTCATAGACACACCAGATCTGCAGCTACTTATGGAATAATTCCTGCTCAGAAAGAACTAAAAACAGGCTGAACAGCTCTGTCTACAATAAGGAGTATAAGGGCTACACTGAAATGAATAGAGGAGGTGGAGATGTGGTTTTGCCAAAAACTTCACCCTGGTGCAGCAACTCATAGTAGGGAGGGGTTTCACAGGTCTGGAGTCTTTACCTGAGGAGGGATGGGTTTATACCCCACTTTGGGTATGCCAACCCTTGGAACCTGCACTGGAGAGACGAGGCCCTCCCAAATGGGTTTGGAAACCAAAGGGGCTTGTGTACAGTGAACCTGGGGGGCTGTGGAGAATCTGAGGTACTCCTTTTGAGGGGCTCACAAACAAGCACACTCATTTTGGGACCCAGTGCAAAGGCAGCAGTTTGAAAAGTGACTAAATTATATGTGAAGGAGATTGATTTGCTAATTCTAAAGTGTTTACTGGAGTAGCTGGGACCAGTTGGGACTTTCTTTGGGTCCAGAGGTGCTTGTGAGCACCATTTTTGCACTTTCCTTCCACTTTGCTAGTGCAGTCAGGCACTGTGGACACAGACAGCCTCCCTAAAGCCGTGGGTGTGCCCCCATCCCCAGACGTGTCCCTGCCTCACTAAAGCCTTGGGTGTATCCTGCCTACATTGTTCTCCTCCTGCATCCCTAAAGCCATGGATGTGCATCACCCTCAGTACTCTTTCAGCCTTGCTAAAACATGCCTTTGAGTGCAGTCCACAGAAGGAATGTCTGTTGATCACCTGTCCCTGGTGGCCAGAGGAGCTTGAATTTCTGTACCCTATGGGACTGTAATAGGAAGGTAGTTTGGGGAGGGCTGTCATACCCAAGGCACTGCATAGACAGCAGGCTGAAACACACTACTAGTCTAGTCTGCCTATGAAAAAGGCCCATCCACTTGTCCTGGAGCTTCAGCCTAAGGGACAGGCTTCAAAGGTGCTCTCAAAGTGTAGGTAGGGAGACACCATCTTTGATCTCTCCCTCAGCCTCAACAGAGCTTGCTGGTACCTCCAAAAAGTTTATGTGCTTGTCTGAAGCCTTGATTTTTGTGGCTTGAGCTCAGGAGACACCTCCAGATCTCTTGGGCTGGAGATCAGCAGGGTTTATAGTTGTGGTGCCACAGGGCTATATATTCGTATACTCCAAAAGCTCTTTCCTGTGGATCTGTCTTCCAGTCAGTCTGAAACTAGGTGCTGAGATCACTCCCTTTGGAACACTGGCAGGTCTATTTTTTTTTTTTTTAAAGATTTTATTTATTTATTCATGAGAGACAGAGAGAGAGAGAGAGGCAGAGGGAGAAGCAGGCTCCCAAGGAGCAGGGAGCCCAATGCAGGACTCGATCCCAGGACCCTGGGATCATGACCTGAGCCGAAGGCAGACGCTTAACCATCTGAGCCACCCAGGCGCCCAACACTGGCAGGTCTTGACACACTCTCAACAACTGTGGGATCTATCAAGAATAATTCAGACTAATTAGGTAATCACAGAGTTTCAGAGAGACAACCAAGAGCTAGGGCAAGGTTGAATAATAAGGCTTATCTCCTATACAAGGCCACTTCTTCAAGACTGGGAGAAGTAACTGTTTTGCTTAATAAATAGAAACTAAGAGTCAAGTAAAATGAGACAGGAATATTTTCCAAACAAAAGGAGGAGACAAAACCTCAGAAAAAAGATCTTAATCAAGTGGAGATAACTAATCTACCTGATAAAGAGTTCAAGGTAATGGTTATAAAGATGTTTACCAGAGTCAGAAGAATGTTTGAACACAGTAAGACTTCAACAAAGAGATAGGAAATATAAGGAAGTACCAAATGCAAGTCACAGAGCTGAAGAATACAGTAACTGAACCGAAAAATACACAAGAAGGGTTCAGCATCAGAATAAATGAAGAAGAATGGATCAGTGACCTGGAAGACAGGGCAGTGGAACCCAGCCAAACAAAGCAACAACAACAAGAAAATTAATGAAGATAACTTAAGGAACCTCTGGGACAACGTCAAGTGGAGTAACATTCACATTATAGGGATCCCAGAAGGAAAAAAAGTGAAAGAGGCAGAAAACTTCCCTAACCCAGAGAGGGAAACAGACATCGAAGTCCCAGAAGCATAGAGAGTTCCAAATAAGATGAACTCAAAGACATCCAGATCAAGAGACATTATAATTACAATGTCAAAAAATAAAGAGAATCTTAAAAGCAGCAAGAGAAAAACAACTTGTTGAGTACAAGGGAATCCCCAAATCACTATCAGCTGATATTTCAGATGAAGCTTTGCAGGCCAGAAGGGAGTGGCATGATAGATTCGAAGTGCTGAAAGGAAAAAACTTCCAACCAAGAATATTCTACCTGCCACGGTTATCATTCAGAATTGGAGGAGAGTTTTCTAGACAAGCAAAAGTTAAAGGAGTTCACCACTAAACTGGCCTTATAAGAAATGTTAAAGGGACTTCTTTAAGCTGAAAAGGAAAGGTACTAGAAAACATGGGAAAGTAAAGATCTTACTCGTAAGGGCAAATATATAGTAAAGGTAGTGAATTAACCACTTATAAAGCTACTATGAAGATTAAAAGACAAAGTAGCGAACTTAAGTATAGTTACAATAATTAAGAGAGACACAAAGTAAGAAAATGTAAAAATGTGGAGAAGAGAGCAGAAATGTAGAGTTTTTATAATGCATTCAAATTTAAGTTGCTATCAACTTGAAATAGGCTTTTATTTATATGTAAGTATATATATGTAAATATAAACAAATATATAAGTATAAACAAAAATAAGCATATGAATGTACAAACATAAGTATATAAACAAGTATATAAATATATATGTGTAAGCTGTGTGTGTGTGTGTATATGTATATGTATATATATGTGTGTGTGTGTACATATAGGCTGCAAGGGAAGTGAGCAAGAGAAAAAAAGAACAGAGAGGAACTATAAAAACAGCCAGAAAATAATTAACAAAATGGCAAAAAGTACATACCTATCCATAATTACTTTAAATGTAAATAGACACAGTCAAAAGATGTATACAGTAGTTGAATAGATTTAAAAAAGAAGACTCATCTATATATTGCCTATGAGAGATTCACTTTGGATCTAATGACGTGCAGACTGAAAGTGAAGGGGTGGAAAAAGATATTCCATGCAAATGTAAATGAAAGAAAGCTGATGTGGCTATA